CTAATCTAAATTAAATATTATTAATAGTCGTTGGGTTGTTTATTAAACTCATATATCACTATTAAAATAATTCTTTTTTTTTTTTGTTTATTTAATGAAATTTACAACTGTATACAAATAAAACTAGTAAATATGCTCAAATATAAATAATGGCATGTACAGGCTTGAAGAGATACTACCCAGTGGTAGCACTTTCCTTTATTTTGTTTGGAAGTTGGACCATATAACAAAAAAATAGGAAATTTTAATGTTGAATGCATTGTTCTCTCTGCACAAAGAAAAATGGAAAGGACGAAGCTAGTCCGTTAAGTTCTTCTGGGTAACCGAAACTGCTTGTTAGATTTGGTATCAAAATGAGGCAAACCGCGAAATTGAACTCAAAAATTGGAAAATACATAAAGTGAACGAGAAAGGCAATGCCAAAATCTCGAAAAATAAAATCCATGGCTAAACGAATATACAGATGAAAAGAATATTTCAAGATGCTTCTAAAAGAGTGTCAAATGTTGGAGCATTTTAAATGACATTTCTTAATATATATGTGTGTGTGTGTGTGATATTCTTTAATATATTGGTATTCCAAAATAATCTCCTTGGACGATGCAGGTTTATTATAGTGAAGACCATCAACAAGAAAGATTTGTTCGAAGCAATTGGCGTCGAAAAATGCCGGATTGACGACTTAGACTGAGAATCAGCACTTGGCTTAATTTCCTCATAGTTGGTATTTTATTAAAGCTGAATAGTCAGTTAACAATAAAATATGTACAAATATTAAAAAATAATTGGCTTAGGCAATAAGGAACAACAGTAAAGTAAATTTTTTGAACAAATAAATTTTCAAGTTGAAACTAAAACGTCATTTGTAATTAAACGACCAACAATAACGCAAAAAGTTATCACTACTTTCCAGATGTTTTATTTACGGTTGTTTTGCGTTATTGTTGGCCGTTTAATTACAAACGACGCTTGATTTTCAAGTCGAATATTTTTTAGTTAAAAAAATTGATTTAACTGTTGGTTTTTATTGCCTAAGTCAAACATTTTTTATGTCTGTGTCTTATATATATATATATATATATGTGTGTGTATACAAACAATTGTTCTTTATATGTTTCAGCTGTCGGTATTTAAACAGTAATAAGGTCGATAATGAAACAATCTTAATAAAGGCTAATCTTTTGAAATATTGTCGTTTAATTACAAACGACGCTTTATTTTCAACTTGAAAATTTATTTGTTAAAAAAGTTGACTTTACTGGTGTTTTTTATTGCCTAAGCCAATTATTTTTTTTTTATTTATTTGAACCATGTTTATTGAAGACTATAAACTAGTGAATAAACTAGTCTATCCTTTGTTAATTTCATACTTTTAGTGGCAAATAATATCTCGGTATTCAAAAAAATTGACCTATCATTAACTAATCTCAGTAATTTGTCAATTACTATTTCATCTTAAATCGTACTCTCCCCTTGTATTGCTCAGGAATTTAATAAATCTTACTCATCAAATGTTATCATCTTACTTTGGTTTAATTATTAAGTGTTAATTTCAAGGGAAATTAGTCAGAGATTGAGTCAAAGAAGACACAAACATGATAAATGGTATTTTATTTATTGATTGCCTACATTTTGAACTATGTTGTGGGTCTTCATCAAAGCTAAACAGAAAAAAGGGACAAGGAAAAATAAATAATGTTAACTTAGTAGAAGATAAGAAAAGTAATGTGAAGTTAATATGTTATAGAAGCTTTAGAACTATTGCAGGAGATAGAAAATGACAAGAATAAAAAGGAAATGGGTATGAATAGAGTATATTATATGACATAATAAAGAAGTTGAAATCTAAACAGTGATGATGGATACAGAAATCAAATTTTAAATTGATAGAAATATGATATATTATGCATACTGATATTATATTATACCTTTATTAGTATATTATTAGTTACATTACAGTAACTCTGTATTTTATGCCAATTCATTTTTTTTCTTTTTAACATGTTCTTTGTAGTCCTGATAAAGACCTACAACAGAGATTGAAATATAGGAAATCAATAAACATATGCCTCATCTATCATGTGTGTGACTTCTTTGACTGCACTGTTGATCAACATCTTAAATTAGAGATCTATGGTTGGTAAACATTATCCATACCATGATTAATTTGGATCGTGCCAGAATAATATAGACCAATTTCTTTCATACCTGTCTTAAAGTTCATGATATTATTTATATTGTTAATGATTCATCAAATAAATATATATCTTCTTATATTTATCTATTTTTTTGTTAAAGTATATTAACATGATCAATTAAATAAATCCACTAATGTATTTTTATTGTTATAATTAATTTAATAATTGTTATTTATTAAATTGAAAATTTTATAAAAATTCCAGATAAATCCAAAGAGAAATAAAATAAAATAAATAATTTCTTTTAATATTACTTTAATAATATTTATTAACATGACAATCATACTTATATATTTTATTATATACATGTTTATAAAAAACATATTCTTTAATTTTAATGTTAATAGTTAGATCCGATGACACCAAGAGATGACACTGATTAGTGTTGGGACACCAAAAGCTTCTCACATTACTTAGGGCCATAGGCAGGCTCCGGGGAATTAATTTATACTATATTTATTATTTCATTTATACTTGTTAATGGTGACTAATTCTATTGCTTAATATCAATCTTTCATTCATTAGTAAATTGTGAAAGCTCTAGAAACACTTAAGTCTCTTAGGATCTCATAATTTGAAACATTGGTTGGATGGGTCGAATAAAGCAAGTGACAAGAAAAGTTTTGATGCTGATGAATTAAATTCAGAAGAGTGACAATCTGAGCAAAAGCGATCACAGTAAAAAGTTGAAGTTGTAAGTCAATGAGGAAATTAATTACCAAAGTGAGAACCAAGATTTATTTTTCAAATATGAAGATAAACAAACAAAATGGTTGAAGAAAATGCTGAGAAAGAATATTAGGACTGAAGCAGATAACATTTCAACACATGGCCTGCATTACAGAATAAGATGTGCATTTATTGAAATGAGCAATGCTTGTGCTAGGGGAGAAAAATTATATTGCACAAGATTATGCTTTGCTGATCAAGAAAAAATCTCAAATCAATCATTAAAAAAATGTATTAGCAGAAATAATTTATTTTCATCAGTTAAAACTAAAAATTTCAATGAGTGATAAATGTCAATCTCATGATTATGTACCACTGCCAGTCAGTCATGTTGTGATCTTTCTATCAGGGCTTGAAATGAAATTTCAACTTCCATTTTTTATTAGTTTCGTTATTAGTGGAATGTATATTTTCAATTTTTTTTTTCTTTTATTTCTGAACTAAAACTTTTTCTCTTACAACCTTTCAAACAAAGATTTTACAGAACTTTTATTTCCTAAAGTCTTTATTTTTGAAGTTCCGATGATTTCACAAAAAAGTCAATCTAAAAATGGTTTTTATTCTTAGCAACGCAAACAAACGACTTATTAGAAGCAAGTAATTCGTTTAAGATAAATTAACTAAATAACTAATCTAATCTACAACTGATCTAAGCACATTTATTGTTTATTTCTCACTTAATATAAATTTTATTAAGAACTTTATAATAAATAAAAGTTAAAATATTATAATAAAGATCTACAAAACTTTTATTTTATAAACTTTTTTCCTATAAAGTTTCACAGTAACTGTTAAAACCACAGCAACTTATCATAAACATGCCATAAAAGTTTAAATCCCCAGTTTTAACATTTTTTTTTTTTGTTCTCCCCTTCCTCACCCTTTAGGCTATACAGGGTTTTCTGGGCAAGAGGTTAAGCACGGGGAATTAATGCAGAGTTAAAGCCATTGGTAAAATTCTCTTAGAATTATTGAATTTTACCAATAGTCTAAGATCTCGGGACTGAAAGAATGATCGACTTAAAGCAACATGAGAATTCTAAATTTAAAAAAAAGTGTAACTAATTATTAATTTCATGAATATAATTTGAAATTTCACATAATTCTTTTTCTACATATAAAATAAGAAATTTGTTATTTGCAATGAAAAAATTGAGTGTTGCAGATATCACTGGTCTTCACTAGCTCTTAAAATCATGCTTGGACCATCCTCAAGGAAGATGGCTCCAGACAGAGACTGAAGAAGATAGCCTACCCAAACCGATCATTCAAACTCTACGGAATAAAATTACATCTGGTTCACTGAAACGCAAAAAGGGAACTGTTAATTTATTCTAAAAAATCATCAGAACAGAATTCGTGGAGTAATTAAGATTAGTATGTTAAACTCAAATCTATATTAACTCTTGACTTAGCAATCAAACTAAGTGAATTTAAATATCAGATTATTTTAGGAAGTGTATAATTAGTAAGAAATTTCAATAATTAAAAAAGGAAAAACGAATGTTTAAGAGATGAAGGAAAACATGTAATTGATAAAATTGGGTGAAGAAAAAAAAAAAGAAAAGAAAAAAGAAAGATTTTTAATTTATTTTTAAAATAATTATTGAAACTGTACTTCAATTATACCTATTAAGTATTTTATTGTAATATCAAAATAATATTTTATATTTTATTTATTTATTTTATGCTCCCATGCCAATATGGCAAATCGAGTGATGTCAAAATAATATTAATATTAGAATAAAACCCCATAAAATTGATAAAGTTCGCTTTAGCAATCCATCGAATTAGGAAAATGTTATTTAACCTCTTTTCCTGTTGATCAGGATGTTAACCTGTTGATTTGTTTTTCAAAAGCAGAATTAATTTAATTTTCAGACATAAAATAAAGCCAAACAAAAGAAGAAAACAGTCTGAAGTTTAGTGATGCTATTAAAAGTCTGTATGTTTTTGATACTTATTGTTAGTTAATAATGGGAAAAAATAAACAAGACAAATATAGGTATGTAAAAAATAAATATAATTTATTATTTAAAATTATTATATTGAGACAAAGTGGTTGTACTGATTAAAAAATAAAGTATGTTATATGATATTCTAAATTACTAGTTATAATAATGGATAGCTAGCCATGTAGGCTATTCCGCAGATGTTTCCTTTATTCCTGGCCAACTTCATGTAACCTTTGTCTCCCCACCTTGTACTCCAGGAATTCTTGATGATCCAGTAGTCCTGTCCACCTTCTGTTCCATAACCAACTACCAGGACACCATGGTCCAGTTCTTCTGATGCACATGATTCACCATTGAAAATACCTGCAGGATGATAAAAAAAAAAAATATTCAGTTAATAGTAATATATCCTTTTAAATTTTTAAAAAATTTAAGATCATATTAAATAATATCAAATACATCTTAAACCATTATAAGCTCTATCAAGTTTAAGTGTTAGCTGTATTAAGTATTAGTAAATCCTAAATTACAGTGAAATATATGACAGAGAATGTTTGGCTCATTATTACTCTAAAGAGGAATCATTAATAATTGTATGTAACATTATTTTTATTTTTCTAAACCAAGCCAGTATTTAATTTTTCAAGTAGCATTCCATTCCTTAATCTTATATATATATAATAACTCCCACCCTGTTGAATGGTTTGGAGATTTTTCTATTCTGTTATAACTCCAATGTGATTCCTTTCATTATTTGCACTGTATTTTAAATACAAAACTTCTGAGTATTTATATGATACTTTATTATCCTTACGGGCTATTTTACATTTTAGGGGCTTAACAACCTTTAAAAATAGGTAGAATTATCAGTATTGCAATTATGTTTGTGCATATAATATTTATTACAATACATTTCTCTTATTCATTACTGAAATTAACTGGAAAAAAAGAAATATTTTGTTTTATATCTTCCCCTGAAACCGTCTCTGGAACAAGGAACAAAATGAATAAATTTTGAGGGAAAGTTCCTCTGAATTAATTTGAATAAAATTGGATGAAAACAAAGATGGTGATGCTGAAAAGCAAAAAAAAAAAAAAAAAAGGCTGTAAAAAAAGAAAAGAAAGTAGTGAACTAAAATGTTTGATGAAGTAAAACAAACAAAGCACATACACACAAATGAATATTAAAATACTAATCAAGGTGCTAAACAACCAGAAATAATGACATTTTATGAAATTACACACATGGAAAAATTATGAGTGGAGAAAAAGTAACTATAAAATCAGTTGGGAAAAAAGAAAATCACATATTTATACAATAGTCCATCAATGAATACAATTTATTCTCTATCTAAGGATGGTTTAGTATTAGCAGAACCCTGCAAGTTGTCAACATTGCAACATTGCAAGGTTCCAATATTTTTACTTGATTAATTTATTCTGTTTTTGTTTTTACTTATTCTTCTTTTTAGTTTTATTCATCCATTTCTAAGTTAACAGTGAGTTGCCCATGTTTTTTGTTATACCCTTATAATCCTAGTATTGAAAATTTTATTCAATTGAAGATATGGTTCTTATAAGGGCCTCTGAAAAGTACTGATGGCTGTTAAGATCATGTTACATGAATGTTAACATAAAATGAATTATGATATGGAAATTATTGATCTATTTCAAGGAGAAGCTGGTTGGGATGAAGTCAAATAAGTCACACACCTGATAAGTGACTTAAATGTCTGGATTACCTACATTTCTAATTAAATTCCAGTTCCTCATCAAGGCTGTCTAGTTGTGTCAAAGGAGAGGAGACAAGTCTAGGCACTAATACCCCATCCTTTGACATTATTGAATAGCCCTGGTGAAGATTTACAACTTATTAATTATATTATGCAAAAAGTAAGCAATCAGTAAATATAAGTATCACTTATTATGTGAGCAACTTCTTTAACGGCACCACGGGGCGTATCTACAGAGGTACCTTTGGGGCTGAAGCTCTCTCCCCCCAAATGATAAGATATAACCATGTTTCATAAAAATATTAAAAAATTATCTCTTAAAGTATTATTGTTCATGTAATTACATTTAAAAGGACTTTAGGAATCACTTAAACACCATTTCAAATAGGTAGTTAGTTTCTTTCTTTTTTTCCAAAGTAATTATCGTTATTTTTATGAACTTGTTTTCAGGCTGAACCTCCTCCCCCCAAAAATTAAATCCTGGATCCACTAATGGATGGCACCTTCAACTAACTCTTTAACTCAGATGATTTAGTTTTCGAATTTGTTCACCATTGATATAATAAGACATATAACTGAGAATGTATTTTTTACCAACATCTATTATTATAACTTTGAAACTCAATAAAAATTACTTACCCCCTCCATAATGCAAAAATCCACTGTTAGAAGCGCTGACTGCAACGGAGACAGGGCCTACAGTTGCAACTGCTTCCTGAAGAGCGCGTTCGCTACCTTCTGGCAAGTCAACATGCGACTTGACTGATGTTCCATGGACGGAGTTGAAGTTTGTGGACCTGCAATGTCCAACCTGAAAAAATATTCATTTTACAATAGACCGGGACAAAAATAATCGTCATCTATACTAGAGTTGGGCAGTACTCGATTACTTTCATGATTTGAGTACTTTTATTAGGAAGAAGTATCGACTAGTTTGTGTACTCGGCGTGTACTGTGAGTACTCACGCAGCGTTGATCATGATTTAGTTAAGTACAGAAAATACTCGCGGTGTTATATCGAATTACAGAAAGTACTTTGTCAAATTCCTACCAAGAGTACTTTTTATTTTTCAACTAAGTCATTATTATAAAGAGTATAAATGTTTTATTTTATTTCCTTCAATAATAGCGGCCATATTCGACCTGACCAACAGTAACACCCCATTAATCGATATTAGATTAACCATCATGTTTTGGGGGGCCCTTTTTATAAAAATATACTGTCGGATTTGAGATAGTGCCCCCGGGCATCGAATTTTCTTAACTTTTCCGATTTAATCGATACTAGGGTCGACTATTAGTATTTGGGGACGCTTTTTATGAAAATGATATCGAATTTGAGATTGAGACCCCCGGGGCTCGACTTTTTTTAACTTTTCGGATTAAATCGATATCAGCGTCGATAAAATCTTATCTCAAGAGCTACCTAGTCTAAAATTTTATTCATCTGGGTATCTAAAATATTTAGGAACCAGCTGCGTTACATTTTAAACTACTGTAGTCATCTTGGGAAGTATTTAAAGTTTTGAACCTCCTCATAAAGAATATTTGGTTATTTATTGGTCATAAAACATGAAGGGACTGAAGAAATCAGATTTTAATTTAGAAAAAAAAAAACCTTTCTTTTCATTAAAAAAATGATTTTGAATTATCGATCATCTATATTGCTAGTAAATTATATATTTATTCATCTTTCTTACTTCTCCTTGATAAGGATAGGACTCTTCACTGGCTACTCCTCCATTGTCCTTGATGTATTTAAAGGCATTGTCCATCAACCCTCCGTTGCAACCTTGGTTACCGTATTCGCTGGAACAGTCTATGAGCTGTTGTTCGCTGAGGGAGACCAGCTTCTTTGTCTGCCTGAAGAGTTGAGCTTCGATTGCTCCTGTCTGAAAATAAAATATATATTTTAGTAACTTACTTTATTTGATTACAACTGTGAAGAAATTCAAGGGTCAGACTGCCCCTAACATAAAAGTATGGCAAATGGCGCCGGAACTGTTGAATTGTTTGTAGTGAAATATTAGGAACAATATTTAATTTTGGGGAAATTCTCATTAAAAAAAAAAAAAAAAGTGCAATACAAAGATTGGTGAGATTATTGGTAGATTGGTGTGTCGTTTTCTTTTTCAAATATAGACAAAGAAGAATATTATGTACCACAATAATGAGATTGACTTACTGTGCTGAAGGCCCAGCAACCACCGCAAGTTCCTTGGTCTTTAATTGGAGTGACAGCTCCTTCTTCCCTCCAGTCGACAGATTCTGGCAATTTTACGTTGGCAGGTGGAACAAATCTAAGACCAGTGCGCTTGTGGTTGATCAGCTGTCCTGTTTTGTTAAACCCGTTCAGTTGCGCTCTAACTTCTTCAGGAAGCTTGAGAAATTTTCAATTATTTTAATTATTGTAGTAAAATATATTTAAAAAAAATTAAAGCCAATTAACAACACTGCCTACCATATCTGCAAAACGGTTCAATGACATTTTGTACGAGACCAAACCTGCTGCATACTTTGCGTTATGTTCTTCGATCATCTTTAAGTTTTTTGTGAAAATTTGAATTCGGTGGAATTCTTCAAAAGGATTTGCATAGGTTTTCCCCTGTTGCTCCTGTAAGTAAAGAAAAATTACAAGAATTAAATGCTTATTATTCTTGGATGACAGCAAATTAAGAAAAATGAGTGTTTTTGTAAAAATGATTACCTTGAACATGGACCATAGTTCATCAAAAGCTGGAGCAGCTGACGAAACAATAAAAACTGACGCTACCAATAACAATATCCTCATATTACCTACAAATAAAACACTTATTCAATGACAGTAATAAATTAATTATTATTCATAAATTCATAAATAAATGATTTTATTTTTGGAATAACGACATTTCTTATAAAAGTGTTAATAATGATTTTATAGATAATTTAAAAAGGGGAAACAACGATGTGAAGAATTGTGTTTATAGGGCATTCTTGCACAGAACTTTTCCGTTGAGGGACAGAATTATTTGTAAACTTGAGGCAGATATAGGGCCACATTGTTCTAATTCATATGCCCATAAAGACCTTTTTTCCTACTTTAGTTCTAACAGGTTGTATATCTGACAGTTAAAAATAATTTTAAAACAAAAAGGAATATATATATATATATAGCATTTCCAAGTCAATTTCAACCTTTTCCAAATCAAATTCAAACTTTTCCAATTCAAATTAAACCTTTTCCATTTCAAAGTCAACCTTTTCCAAGTCAATTCAACCTTTTCGATTTCAAATCAACTTTCGAATTTTTGTCAATTTTTGATTTTTTTCGTAATGAAGGCCACTTACTATATAATCGAAGGCATAGCTTTTGAAAAATACAAAAAAAATTATGATGACGCGGTTGCATATCCATTTATTTCAACTTTTTAGATTTTTTTAGTATAATATTTCCATGTCATATTCAATTTTTCCCAAGTCAAATTCAACCTTTTCCAACTCAAATTCAACCTTTTCCAAATCAAATTAAACTTTTTCCAAGTAAAAGTCAACCATTACCGTTTCAAATTAAACCTTTTCCAATTCAAATTCAACCGTATCCATTTCAAATTAATGTTTCGAATTTTTGTAAATTTTTAATTTTTTTAAATAAGGCTCATCCCTCCCCCTAAAATATGAAGGTCTATTATTATGCTCCCCTAAGGAGAGTTTTTTAAAATACTATTGATTTTATGTTACACATACGGATATTGATTTATTGTACCTATTAAAATTTATTCGATATAAGTGTGTATTATTATGTTTCTGGAGCCACAGATTTTTAAAATGACCTCCATTTTATGATTACCCCACCATGTTTCGACTTATTTAACTTTTTTGGATTTATTCGATATATTTGTGTATTCTTATATTTCCGGAGCCGTAGATTTTGAAAATGACCTCTATTTTAAGAATACATTTTAATTAATCGAAATGCAGTGGTGTAATCATAAAAGTATATTAAATATTAGGCCAATTTAAATATTAGAGATTCGACAAATTTCAAATACTAATATCCAAAAAACTGTGGCCTAATTTTAAAATAGAGATCATTTTCAAAAACTACGGCTCCGAAAGCATAAAATTAGACCCTTATATCGCATAAATTAGAAAAACTTAAATAAGTCGGAACGCAGTGGCACAATCTTTAAATGGAAATTCATTTTCAAAACTTACGGCTCTGGAAACATAAGAATACACCCTTATATCGAATAAATCCAAAAAACTTAAATAAATCGAAACACGGTGGCGTAATCATAAAATGGAGGTCATTTTAAAAATCTGGGGATCCGGAAACAAGAATACACCCTTATATTGAATAAATCCAAAAAATTTCAATAAGTCGAAACGCGGTGGCAATCATAAATATCATAAAAAGGAGGTAATTTTTAAAAAAATAGGCACACGATAGCATAATACTAGACCCTAATAAATCGGAATAGGTAAAAAAAATCAATATCCGTAAGTGTAACATAAAATCGATGGTATTTTGAAAAACTCTCCTTAGGGGAGCATAATAATAGACCTTCATATTGTAGGGGGGATGGCCCTTATTTAAAAAAAATTAAAAATTTATAAAAATTCGAAACATTAATTACAAATGAAAGCGGTTGAATTTGAATTGGCAAAGGTTTAATTTGAAATGGAAATGGTTGACTTTGACTTGGAAAAAGTTTAAATTGATTTGGAAAAGTTTGAATTTGACTTGAAAAAGGTTGAATTTGGCTTGGAAAAGGTTGAATTTGACTTGGAAATACTACACACACACACACACACATATATATATATATATATATATATATATATATATATATATATATATATATATACATATATAAACCCAACAGTTTGTTTATTAAATAATTAATAAGTGACCTTATTCCGAATTAAATAGTTAAGTTTAAATATATATATATATACATGTAATAATGAATTTGAAAACGTTTCACATATGTAAAAGTGAGCCACTTAACTTATTATATACTAAATCAAAAACATATTTTTAGTTTTTTTCTCGATATATAATTATTTAAAAATATCAAAAAATATTGTACTAATTTGCATAATATACGTGTATATACTTGTGTAATTAAGCGCTAGATTTGTATGATTTTTTTAAAGTGAATATAATTTTTAAATAACAAACCAAAAACGCTCATAAAGCATCTAAAGATAAAGAAATAAACTGATCAACTCATTTCTTTCACAAAGTACATCGAGTTATTGGTCACTGTAGGTATTACGTAACATGTCTGATTAGAACAAAATTATGGAGATAATGATAGTGAGAGGGTGATCAGAAAGTTTAAAAATATATATTTTCAAACTGGTCAAATAAATTAATTAGCTAAATTAAGGAAATGAGCTTTTAAATGTCCTAAGTTTGATGGAAAATTAAATTGTTTGTAATCAAATAATGATTTCTATTTAGTATTAAATGCCGTATTATTAAATATATGAAATACCTTTTTGATACATAATATCAAAAATTTCAATAATTAATACTTAAAAATAATTATAAAATAAATGAAAAGATAAGCGATTCAAGTTGGTGGTCTTTACCTCTTAGTAGGGTGGACTACTGGATCTGACTAAAATCCTGCTGGTATTGGGCGTTTTTATATCTAGCGGGCTAGAGTGTCTTTGGAATTTTTAAACAGTTACAAGTGGTATGATAGACGAAATTATTTTGAAGGACTATTTCATTATTAGATCTCAGCAAATATTGCCTATTATCAAATTAAACAATAGAAAATAGTTTAGATTTCTGATTGATGAATGTAGGTTATGTTTCTACGCTTCAAAATCTAATATTAAAAAAAATAAATAAAAATACTGCTTTTCACAAGGTTATTCAATTCGATTAATTTTTATCTACTTTGAACGAAATTATATCCCAGTTTGTCCATAAGCAAATACTTTTCATTTTGGTTGAGGGGAGGGTGGAGCGATGGTCTCCCTTCCCAAAAAAATACTCGGTAGTTTGTATTATGTTTAAAAATTATGAGTGGCAATTAACATAATCAGAATAATTATGGTAAAAGGAACAATATAATACTAATAGCTGACCCGTGCCAATACTTCGCACAAACTTTATATTTGTATGTTCCATTCAGTAATGTTTCTATGCAAAGGTTTAATACTTTTATTTAGTAAGTTATCAGTTTATAAATATAATAATCTATACCCATCCATAGGTTAACCCTTTCTAGTTTCATTAAATTTATAATTATAATATTATATTTTTTCTTAAGTTTACAAAAGCTTCTAAACATTGCCTTTAAATATCTGATGAAGGCTAAATACTTTGAATTTAGTTCTCTGGAAGGTACGTTTTGACCTAGCAGTCTGTATTAACAGAAATAAAAATAAAAAAAATGTTTCTTTGTCATTAAAAATAATCAAGTAAATTTTTAAAATGATAAACATCTAATAGCTTATATATAGATAATATTTTATTTAAAATGAAGTATATAACATTCCATATTTATAGCAATATAACAAATTTAATAATTAATTTTACAAAACCAAATGTTTTGAAATTAGCTAGAATAATTACTTATTGATACAATGTATACTGTCTCAGAAAGAAAAGGGTCATTGCCCAAAATTTTAAATTCCGAATGAAGAGCAGAAGAGAAAATAGGGTAGATTAAGAAATACTTTTATATCATTTTCTGTTAAATAAGAAAATCTACTAATAAATTTATAATATCGAGGAAAAAGCTTTATTTTACCCTTATATATTTATTCCATGCTTTAATTCATTTAAATGATCCAAGCATGGAGTATATATATATATATATATATATATTTGTGCAAAAAAGCTTTTTCCTCCATATTATGAATTTTATTATTAATATATACCCTTGAAAAATTTAAAGATTAAAAAAAATAAAATTCTACTAAAATATACTTGATGAAAACAATCATTACTACAATAGATTTAAAGTTTTTGAGTAATCCAAAACTGAATGAATCTTAAGTAAATTAATACTAAATGTTTAGAACGCTATATCTTTGCACCACATAGTCCGATTTCGATGATTTTTTTTACGTTTTGTAGGGAATTTAGTAAGCTTTCAAATACTCATTATGGGCATAATGGGCCAAAAATTGCGTCCTTTCCGAGTTATTCCCAAATTATGAATTCATTTGTAACGTCTCGATTCGTTGAGACGGCACCATCATATGGTTTGAAACCTCCCACTTTTACATTCACTTTTATTTAAGTCCAGTATAAAATTAGGAATCAAAATTACGATTCGCGCACTCTACGTGATATTCCCTTTCTATTGATACCTCATTCGTCAAAATCCATCACTCCTCAGAGCCGGAAAAGGGATACATATATATTTGAGGAATAATATATAAGAAGATACGTGAAAAAATTGTATAGGGTAAATGTAATAGCTGACATGCTCAAGGAAATTTCTTTGAACTTTTACATGTAAAACTGAAATATTGATGTTTTTATATTTTTCATCGCTTCAACTTATAGAACTATTTCTCATCTTGCCAGGACATACTTCAAATCCATGAAACATTCGAATAAATTTTAAAAAATTGAAAATTCAGAGAATAGTTTTGTTGTACCAATAACATTGTTTGATTTGGAATGTTCCTGACAGAAAAGAGAACACGGATGTAATTAATCTAAATTTCATATTCTTCATTTTAACTTTAACAAAAATTATCTCTTATTACAAAACTAACTTCTTGCGTTTTCTAAGTAATTTATTTATTTATTTACAACAATGGCGGGGCTCCTCAATCTCTTACGGGTCATATTTTAGACCTTACAAAATATTTATTTTACATCAGATGAAATTAAATTTAACAATAAATTGAACGCATAAAATATTTAAAACAAAAAAAGAGTCAGCAAATTTTAAATTTTGTTGTAAAGGTGAGTTATTTGAAGAAATGTAAAGACTTTTTTGCCAATTTGGTTGTATTTGTTAGAATTTCAGTTATATAGTTCTCCAATTCAACTTCATTACGTTGTTTTTCATATCCATAACATTCAGTCAAAATGTGCCTGATTGTTAAATTGACCCGCAGCAGAGACACTGAGGGGGCGTCCCCTTTGTCATCAGGTGCTCATGAGTTAGCCGTGAGTGGCCGATTCGGAGCCTTGTCAGGATTATTTCTTCTCTTCTTTTTATCTGAAGGTCCGCTCGATTGGGAACTACAGAGGGCTAGATCACTCTCAACTCATTGTCTCTTAACACATGCCAGAGACCCTGCCATCTTTCCAGAGCCTTTCTCTTTACCAAAGCTATCACTTCTTTTGGAAAAGCATCCCCTACTGGAGTTCCTTCTGTAATTGCTTGTTTTGCCATGATATCGGCTAGCTCATTACCTCTGATACCTGAGTGACCCGGTAACCACAAAAATTGTACCTTACATCCTACACCCTCCAATGTTTTTATATGCCTAACCGTGTCTGTGACTAATGAGTTTGTTGAAAACGAGTTTTTAATAGCTTTGAGGATAGATTCTGAATCTGTACAAATATAAATTTGTTGTTTATTGCAGGTGAGACTACAAACGGCTAAGTAAATTTATCAATAAATGCTGGTCACTGCCAAGAACCAGCTTTTCGCAATAGGAAAACCTATTTCTGCTGTATATTTAATCAAAATCATTACCATTTTTTAACTTTCACTTACGCATATATGTAATATATAGTTAGGGTGAGTATTGCGGTCGTGAAATTTTTTGAATCTGAGTTTTCAACGGAAATACACGTTTTGGGGTATCCTGAGTCCAAATAACCAAGCCCCGTAAAATAGTCTGTGTTTGAGTATGTTAGCAGTCTAGCTCCAAAACGAAAAGTCGTATGAAACTGATATTACGTATTTAAGATAGGTATATGCCTTAGATGTTACAGCAACCTTTCTCTTAAAATCGGCTGACCGAAAGTGCCACTATATATCAACGCTGAAACATTTTCACAATTTTCTCAAAAACGGCTCTAACGATTTCTATTAAACTCGGTGTATCATTGTATAATGAAGTGTTCTTTAATATTATTTAGGTCTTATCCCCGTTGATGTCACTTTACAGGGCTTAAATACCCAATGTTCATATGCGTCTTCCTCTAAAGAACCTTTAATATGGTTTATTTTAAATAATGAACAACAAATCTAATTAATTTCCTTTTTTTTTTTCTTGATGGACATATATACAGATTTAAAAACTTTATTGAAATAAGTAGGTTTTTGAAAGTCGTGTAAGTGGAAACACCAGAGTTTTTCGTATGGGTTATGGGTATATTTAAAAATATGTTAACAAATCAATTGAATATATTACATATTCTTAATTAAATGCATGAAACCCTGATCTTTTTAAACTGTTGTGAGCTGAAATATTATGTTGAATAATAAAACAATCATTGGAATAATAAGGGAATTTCATAGAGATTTTATTATTATTAAATTTTTTTGGTTCCTCACTACGGAAGGTAGGGAAGCATTGTATTCGTGCGAGAGGTTAAAAAAAAATTGTGCTAAGAATTAAAAATTTTAACTCGCGTTTTACGTTTCAGACATCAAGGATCAAATTTGCTTCGGTGTTTGTCTGTCTGTCTGTAGTTAAATCGATATAACGCGCATCTCACCTACTGCCGTTAATCCAATTTTCATGAAATTTACCAGGGGTTGTGCGGATTGTCCCATATCAATAAAAAAAAGTCATATTAGGGATTGTTTTTATTTCCATTGAAGTGCAACCAGCTCCTTAAATATAAAAATTGTATCAAATTCACTCATATTTTTATATTTCAGCTTAATTAGTTTTGTTCTGATTGAAGAAAAGTATTGGTCTCATAAACTACGAATAAAAAAAAATTGAATTTTTTCTATGTATTTTTTGTTCCATCCAGTTTGCGAGTGAAAACATACCTATTAAGGATATATCACTACTGTTAGTGCAGAGGTCGTATGTAAAAGTTTTCAATTTTTATTTAATTTTCGACAAATTAGAATAAACAAATTACAAATACTATGTAGTCATCAATTAATATAAGTAGTCTACTACTATGAGAAATAAAAAAGGGCAATAAAATATAAAATTATACTAATAGATCATAAAGGAATAATTAGTTTTTATGCTCTTCTGTAAAACACTCAATTTTTATATACGTCATTTGCACTAACAGTAGCGAGATACATATTCAGTATGCACTAGCATTTTTTTTTTAATACCGAATTATCAAACATGCAAACATGCGGAACTTTTTCGCATTTTAGTATTTGCTGATAAACAAAACTCGTGGATATCAAGCCCGTATATGTTGAGGGATTACTGAATTTCCGAAAACGGCTTCTTCCAGAGATTTTATTCTTATAAGAAAATTTGCAGACCTTTTAATATAGATATTTTTTAGCAAATGAAAACGGTGAGGAAGCTATACTGACCTTACTTGGCAGAGGTTTTTTTTTATTTATTTTATGGGTCAATAAAAATAAGAAAAAAATAATAACTGTCCAATTTCTTTATTTAACTAAAACATATATTTATTGGTATAGAATGCGATGATGACGCTACAAGACCGGATAACTAGCCATAGTGGCGATGTTGCAGACGTTTCTTTTGTTCCTGGCCAACCTCATGTAACCATCTTCTCCCCAGTTGCTGTTCCAAGAGTTCTTGATTATCCAAAAGTCCTGACCTCTCTCTGATCCGTAGCCTACGATGAGGACAGCATGGTCCAATCTATGAGGCACACAGGGCTCTCCGGTGAAGATACCTGACAGTACAAACAATAATTTTATTTAAACCATTATTCATTTATTTATGATATTTTTTTTCTTATTTATAAAATATTTATAGATAGATGATTTTTTTTTTTAATAACCAGTTTTCAGTAGACTTCATACAGCAAATCTGTAACTTGCAATAATTCACCATTATTTTTTTATACCTTGAATTAATTGAAGTTATATTTTTTTTTATCTTGTTCTTTTTAGCCCTGATGGAAACTTACAACGTTGGTTAAAACAAAGTAATCAATAGATAGATATAAGTCTCACTTATGCCTATATATTTGATCGCACTCCTAAATAATTTTTGTTAAGTTAGTAATATCCAATAAATATATAACTAACCTACGTGTAAATAATTTTTTTCTTGATTAGTTTTTAATATATATTTTTAGAAATCGCCAAATTTCTGCATGTTTTTGATCATAAAAATACTGATAGATGTTTGATTACTAATTTTAAAACCGATTACATGGGCTTTCATTTGAAAATTTGAAAATCTCCAAAAAAGCTTTCTTATAATTGATAGATGAAATAAAGTCTACATGTTGAAAAGTTACTAAACGATTCATAATAATTAGCGCAGCCCTTAGACGTTTGGTGCTCCCTGGCAGTTACATCAAGAACTAAAAAAAAAAAAAAAATTATGTTATAAGTATCAATTATGGTTTAAATTGAAAATGGTACATTTTACGGCTTTTATGTACATGACCCAATGGAACCTAACTAGATCTGGATACCGAAATATTTAAAACGTAATTTGTCACATATATGTCTATCAACTTTTGGAACCATATGAATTTCCTAAAACAACCTAATATTTTCCCGGGAGTTTTATTAAAAATTATGTGGAAATTTCAGCTTCGAAATTGGGATTCTTCACTTCCCTATTCACTTCACTCCCCTACGAAATTACCTTTCGTAACTATACTACCATATTATAGAGTATGTATATCAAAACTATTTAAAATAGTATATTATGCCCTGAATTCCTTAAATACCATAAATAACATCATTTCACATACTGACTTTCCGACAGTCAAGGAGCACGCTCATTCTACAAACTTCCATGATAAGTTGAACGGACACTACAACTATAAAATAATAAAAGAAATGGCTAAAATTCTCATGCTGAAGAATACTAGAAGACTATTGAAAATTGCTTGGATGAGAGATCTTCTTACGTAACAGAGTAAGGTAAAAGGATGCCTCAGGTGTACAGCTGAGTAGTGTTTTTCCTCATGCTTATCAAATCTCTTTTATGTAATTTTATTTTATTTGTTTATTATATTTTTATTATCTATTAATAATGGCAGCTCATCAGCTGATTGTTAATGAATGTCAATTAACATGTGTAGATTGAATAATAAATGAGAAAATAAAAATTATTCCTAGTAACGGATTTCAAACAATATGGCAAGACTACTTTATACTGCATGCAGAATTAATTTAACAGGTAATTTAAATCCTCGTATTTCCTAAAATAGTTGCAAGTCATCACCTCCAGAGTAGAAGGTAAATCCCGGGTTCCCGGCGTTGATGACAGCAGCCACGGGACCAACTGTCGCGACAGCAGCTTTGAGAGCATCCTCGTCGCCCATTGGCAGATCGGTATGCCCTTTGATCCTGACCAACGGTAGGTTAGATCTGTACCTGCAGAAATGGGGCTGAGCAAAGAAGAAAGGCGTCAATTAAATTAAAAAAAAAAGTATAAATGGCTTCGAAAAAGCTTACTCACTTCTGCTTCGTACGGGTAGTCATTATCAGTGGCGACGCCATACTTTGCTATGTACTCGAAGGCATTGTCTGTCAGTCCTCCATTGCAACCTTCGTTGCCATAAGTGCTTGAACAGTCCATCAAGTTCTGTTCGCTGAGCGGTACCAAATTTCCTGTACTCCTAGCTATCTGTCCTTCCACGGCTCCAATCTATGACATTATCAACGATTCTTTAAAACAATTCATTCATATTCATCTTGTCCAGATAATACATACGAATCTGTTGTGATTTTATAAAGAAATAGCTTTACCCGGCCACGCGTTGCTGTGGCTCAGCCTGGCAAAATGAAAAGAAAGAAAATAGAAAGCACATATGAGTAGATTAATAGGACATCTGTCATTTTTAAAAAAGTTGGGAAACAAATTTGTCTGTAAAATGGCTCCAATTTAAACTAATTCTAAAGATTTTTTCTCATGATTCAAATTGAACATTCATAATTATCTGAGTGAATACGCCGTCATTCATAATCATCAGAAACAGTGTGAGTTGAACTTATAAAACTAAAATGAAAAATTTATATAAAGAACATATAGTAGTATTGACCTACATAAGGAGAATCAGATAACTTCTTCAAATGATAATTTCAATTACTGTAGTAATTATAATTATACTCAGACACAGTCCGGTATCTTGGCTTTCATTTAGACCGAAGACTAACGTGGAACCCACATACTAGACTCAAAAGACAAGAACTCAACCGACGATACGGCCAGCTATACAGACTACTAAACAGAAAATCCAAACTTTCTATTGAAAACAAATTACTTATCTACAAGACAATACTGAAACCTATATGGACATACGGACTTGAACTGTGGGGTACAGCAAAAGCTTCTAACATCAAACGTATTCAATCCTTTCAATCTAAAGTCCTTCGAACAATAGTTGATGCTCCGTTCTATGTAAATAACAAAATCCTACACCATGACCTTAATATCCCATTTGTCCTAGACCTCATTCCAGAAAAATTCTCCAAATTTCACCAGAACCTTACCTATCATCCAAATCCCCTTGCACAATCTCTATCCAGCACCACTCATCCTTACAATCCTCCTCGAAGGTTGAAGCGGCAGTGGCCCAGAGACCTTCTGTAAATAAGCATCTATTGGAGTTTTGGCAATGGCCAGATCCTCCACTCAAGCCCGAGTGTGTATGATTAGGTTAGTTCTTTTGTTTATATACATTTATTTTATTTTATTGTATTTATTTTTATTTTATTTATTGTATTTATTATTATTAAGTTTCTGTATTATTTATTTTTTTTTTATTGTAAATAGAGTGTGAGTGTGCTTTCTCTGAACACTATTATAAATGTCCTTGATGTGACAGAATGTAATATCTCTAAATAAACAAAATATAAAAGTAATTATAAAATTTTCGAAAAATCAATAAAAAAAAAAAAAAAATGCTTGCCTACCTTCGGTAGTGAGGAAGCAAAAGGAAATGGCCTTTTCTGAAGAGAAAGCAGTAAATGTTTAAAACTCTATAACTCTGCAACGAACAGTCCGATTTAGATGATTTTTTTTTTGTCAGCAATTCAGGAATCTTTCAAATAAATGTGGGTATATAGTAAAAAATTTTGTACTTTTTTAGTTATCGTCAAATAAAATATTGAATTCATCGTAACATTTTTCAGCTTGTTTTCGGGAAAGTATTTTATACACATAAATTAAAAGGGTTTCAAGGGGAAGACTTAAGCCAAGTTTCGTTAAAATCGATAAAGTCGTTTTGGCGCTACAGTTTATAGCGACACATTTTTTTGCGGCTTTGAACAGAAAAACATTTACATTTTTATTTTTTTTACAAATATAAAGTTATCGTAAGACAGAAGTACTATGCCAGAAATCTTCCCAGGAGTGTACAGAACAATTTCCTAAAGTTTCATGGCGATCGGATGAATGGTTTAGTAATGCACAAAGGACAAACAGACAAACAGACAGACATACATTCATTTTTATATATATAGATAGATAAGTAATTTGACCTACATAGGTAATTCTCGATTAAATTATTGTTTAATTATTTAGGATTGTACTGACAGCACTGAAGGCCCAGCTGGAAGCGCACCTTCCTTGATCCTTCACCCTGGCCACCGTTCCCCTCTGTCTCCAGTCTACTGCGGGAGGGAGCTGCACGTTGGCCGGGTACAAGAAGGATATCCCGTCCAGTTTGTGGCCCACCAGTTGGCCTGTCTTGTTGAAGCCAGTCATCGATGCTGTAACTTCGGGCTGAAGCTGGAACAGAACAGACTAACAGTTATTTTATATAAATAGATATCTATTTGTATTTACTTTTAGCAGTTCTTCGCTTAAAAAAAATTAAAATAGGTATATCAAAAGTTTATTTTATTTATTTATATGATATTTACAACTGTATACAAAAAAATACATCTAGTGAATTCGCACATGGATATAATGACATGAAACACGTGTTGAGAAACTACCCATTGGTAGCACTCTGATAATATGTCTATATTAAGAGATCACGTGGCCATCTTCTGTTCATAAGCCTCGGAGGATTATCAGGAATTGAATAGGAAGCAAGGTTAGAACCAAGAGGGTTGGGATGGTTATGAAGTTTATTATGGAATGACAGATATCTGGATTGGGTCAAATCTGATACATAAGGAACATTAAGGTCATTATGGATGATTTGAATTGTAACAAAGTAAGGAGCATTGAGGATTTTACGAAGGATTTTGGATTGTAAGGATTGGATACGAGAGGAATTTGAAGGTTTGGTGGAGCCCCATAGCTCAACTCCGTAAGTCCAAATAGGCCTTATTATAGTCATGTAAATGAGTCTTTTGTAATTAATTGGAAGGTTAGAGCGTTTGTCTAGTAAGTGTTGAAGTAGTCGGAAACGTCGAGCTGTTTCTTGTCGTTTCAGTCTGGTATGAGGATTCCAAGTTAGACGTTTGTCCAGGTGGAGTCCTAGGTAACGGATTTGTTCAACAGGAATAAGTGAGGTGTTGTTAAAGGATACTGAAGGACAGGAAGTCATTGGTTTACGACGAAGGGTGAAGGTAATTTGATGGATTTTGGATTTATTTTAATTCTCCAGTTCTGCACCATTCTTCAAGGTTTATGATGTGGGATTGAAGGGTTTGGGATGCAATAGATGGGTCGTTATTAACTGATAGGATACATGTGTCATCAGCATATGTGGTGATGACAGTTTGGATGGTTGGGATGTCAGCTGTATAGACTGTGTAAAGGATAGGACCTAGGATACTACCTTGAGGAACACCTGCAGACTGGGAAAAACGGGATGTATAGACATTGTTGTGATTTACTTTAAAGTATCTATCAGTAAGGTAGGAACGGATAATGAGGAAGTATGTAGATGGTGGGAATTTTCGGAGTTTGTACAGCAGTTCCGGTTGCCAAACTCTATCAAACGCCTGTTCAACGTCGAGAAAGACTCCCGTAAAGTACATTCCGCGCTTCAATGCAGAGGATACTAGGTCTACCACATGATGGAATTGCTGTATAGCGAAATTGGAGGAGCGGAATCCAAATTGGTGATTTGGGATTATGTGATTAGAATTTAGGATGGGGTACAGGCGTTTTAAGATTAGTTTTTTCAGAATTTTTCCCATGATGGGTAAAAGAGAGACGGAAAAGTAAGAGGATGGATATTCTGGTGGCTTTTTGGGTTTGTGGATCATTTTGACAATATATATTTTCCAAGGATCAGGGAAATATGTGGATCGTGGTACATCGGAGTATATCGGAGTTATATATGAAAGTAAGGAATAGGATGGCTTTTCGAGGAAGAAGTTTCAAGATCTGGGATGTATATCAAAGTATACGGTATAAAGTTGACAAAGTTATTCAAGCTATGTTTTTGTTTCTACAACCGTTTTAAAAGATGTAATATAGTTGCAAATATACGGCTATCTTGTTCTGGATAAAGGGAGTTTGACACTATTTTTAAAATAAGTGAAATAATTTAATGTTTTCTGAATTCTTATACAGCATACTTACCATATCGCCAAACCTGTTCATCCTCATTCTATATGAAACGAGGCCAAGATTGAACATGGCATTGTGATCGTCGATCCTCTTCTTGTTATTAGTGTAAATTTGGAACCTGTACTCCTCGTCTGAAACGCTCCTGTACTGTTTGCCGAACTGTCTCTAAACATATATAATTTATTTATTTTTAATTTATACAAATAATTTATAAATAAATATAATAAATAATTATAATTTATTTATTTATTATACAAAGCCTATATTGGATGAGTTTGCTACAAAAACTGTTGAAACTGTACTCTGATTGTGTCACTAATGTTCTATTTTCCACTTTTATAGTATTAAATTTTTTCATTGATGTCAGTTAAATAGAGAAATATGAAAAACATTTTCAGCCCTGAAGATGACCCACATGTTTGAGTTGAAACGTTGGCAAAAAATAAAAAAGACTGCGTTCTGAATATTTATCACCCAGGAAATATAAGCTTTGCAATAGTTTATCATTTTCAAAAATTTATGAATTCGATTTGTATTGGGTATCCCCAAACACGACTTTCCCTACCACATAATAGGGCAACATTTGTTCGCTAAGATTATATCATTTTAAAAATAGTTATTTAATACAGCTTTTTTTGTTATTATGCTTTGTAAATAATTAGAATAATTCTCAAACCAGAATTAGGACTCTAATAATAGATTTGATATATATTTTTTACTTTTATTTTTCAAGCCGAAACATTATGGTATTTTTAAGTCGAAACATAGATTAAAATGTGCTTTCCAAGTATTTTCCTTCACTCAAGAAAAAAAAAACATAAAACTTTAGAGTGAAAATGGAAAACATAGTTTCCAAACCCTTCAGAATTGCATTGGATTCGTTAAACTTTTTCATTATAATTTTGTTAATAATTTTTTTCTATATTTAAATGAAATTTGATTACCCTGAAAGATCTCCAGTCGTCTGTGAACTCGATTGCAGAACACAAAGTCAAGCAGGTTAGTAAAAGTATTATGATCTGCATTTTTAATTACTAAAAAGAAAAAATATGATAATTAGTAATAATTAAAATAGAGAATAGAATATATTTGTCAATAATGGATAGGGCGTGCATAAAACATAATACATATATTTTGAATGATGTAATATAGTCTGAAAAGTTAGGAAATATACAAATATTATTAAGAAATTAAAATACACACTCACATATATATATATATATATATATATATAATTTGATACCATTAACCATTCCATTCTTTTTTTCAAAATAATTAAAAGCGTTATCCTTTTCCAAAAGTTCTATGCTTTGGTTTCAATCTTGCCTCTCTCAAGATACCCAAGCAATTGCTATTACTATTCAATCTTTGTCTTCTTATCTTACTCTGTCCTCAGGTTGGCTCAGGACTCTTGCATATCTCCTTTTTTTTAAGTTCTTGTATCAACGATCTTTTTAAATCAATCCATCACTATTCCCTTCACCATCACCGATGATTCCAAAACTTACCTTGTATTCTCTCCTTCTGAGTTGTATGATAAGTTTGCCAAAATACAAGAAGACTTTTATCGGATCAGTACCTGAGCAAATGTATATGGATTAACTTTTTCAATTAAACGGTATTAAAACCCAAGCCATTGGTTCCAAACCACTTCAACCAATGACAATCCCAAAATACCAACATTCTATCCTATACCTAAATTAGGATCCATTCACCTTGTGACAGTCAAGTCCCTCATGAATTTTTTAAAATTAGTTATTTCTGAATTCTTACCTACCCATAAATTTTCAATTTATGAGATCCTAAACCGTGCAAAGCCCACTTATATTAAAGACTATAAGCTGTAGATATGTATTTGTATAAAAGCATGAAGTAACAATTGATGATAATAATTATAAGCACAAGCATAAAATATAATGTCTAGATACAGCTATTATTGGTTGCTATAATAATAGGTATTTATAATTTGAATCACTCATTTCCAAGGTGAGCCCTAATGATAATTTAAAAATTTTCAGGAAACGGGAAAAATATATTTTCAATTAAAATTGTGAAATTAAAACTGATATTTAAAAAAAAAAACGTTGCAAATTATTCCACAATGGTTTATTATTTCCAGACAATTATAAATCTAGAGTAACATTACCTTCATAGTTACAAAGAAAAAAAAATAAGAGGTGATTCCAATTATTGGATTAAACCTTTTTTTTTCATCATTGGTAATATGCTAAAAAAAAAAGCATTACGTCAGTAACATATTAAAAATTTAAAAACCAAACAAAGGATATAATATTTGGAGCAGAACATATTAAAAAAACCGGAGACCATATTTTTCCTCCTAATTGTCCGATTTTAACGATTTTTTTTGTTTTTAGGAAATTTCGCAAACTTTTAAAAAACATATACAAAAAAGTGTAAACTTTTTGAGTTATTCGTAATTTAATTTTACCATCCCTCGTAATTTTTTTCCAGCTTCTTTTCGTTAAAGTATGTTGTATATATAAATTTAAAGGGCGTCAAGAAAATGACTTTAGCGAAGTTTCATTGAAATCGGTACTTTCGTTTAGGAATTACAGTCTGTAGCAACGCAGGTTTTTCGGCCGCCATTTTGAAAGTAAAAGGCGGATGGTAATGCCGATGAAGGAGGATCACCCTCGGGTGACCACTGATTTTATATCAAAATTTCAAAAAAATCGGTCCAGTAGTTTCGGAGAAATTGGCGGATGGAAAAGAAAATGTTTATTCGTTTTTCGAATTCTACGCATCCTGAAACGTGAAATCTCAAATTTTGAGGGGGTTATAAGTTTTTGAATTTTTTGGTCGTTCACAATGGTTGATAATTGAAAGTAATAAACTAAAATAAGTCTAATTTTATATCGATAGCCTCGTTCCGAAATGCTTACTCCAAAAACTATACTAAATGAAACTAACTATAACAACTATTAACATTACTATAATAAACTACACTAACTTTCAATTTAGTTTGCAAACTTAATTCCTCAAAATTTAAGTTTTAAAAATATTTTAGAAAAGCCAAGAACTGTATTTTTTAATAAAGTGTTACTACAGGATATTTCAGTGTTGATGTTTAGCTTGTAATATTTAGGTCTAAAAAATAAATTTTTATTTTCAAGTATCATTCTGTACTAACACCCTAACCATTTTTGTTTTTGTTCAGGTGAGCTAATTTTCCATAACCTTGAGATATTAAATTTTGTTTCTTATTAAATCTGTATAAAAAAAAAGAGGTAAAGGACATAACGCATAATACAATACATAATTAATTTAAGGAACATAACGCATATACGTTTCAGTAGTTTCAATTAGGAAACAATAAAATAAATAAATGACAAAAATCGCAAAAAGAGAAGTTATTACTAGTACAATAAACAAGTAACTAAAAATGAATAACAGTGATAAAAAAAATTTAAAAAAAAGGATTTAAATAATAATGTAATTAGATTATTTATTATAGAAACGTAGTATAATAGGATAAACAATAAACTAAAGATAAGGAAATAATAAGATAAGGAATTAAGTACAAATATACATATAATATATACAATACAGTACAATAAAATTTATTATAAATCAATTACATGAACAATTGACGTAATGATATTAATAACTGATTAAACAACAGTTGTTTAAATTTTAAGAACAGAAAGGTTAACCCAGTCCACAAATGCACCAAATTCTGAAAAGTATTTATCAATCAGATTATTCTTTAAGGGATAATGATATATGAATTATTATAAAATATAATATAGAAATTTAACAATCATTTCTAGTTTTTCACTATATTAGTAAATTTCCAGCTTGAGTACCATCTCGATAAGGTTTGAAATCTCATTTAATTGTGACTACCTATTCTAGTTTTTTTTTGCTTTTATCATCATTGTGTAAGCAATTATTGACATCATTGCTAAATATATCTCAAGATTAATAATTAGAAATTAAAAAGCATATATAATTGCTATTACTTTTACTAGAAATATCAATATTTATATAAGTTATTATTTAGGTGAATAAACATTGAAAACAATATAATCAGTATAGTGTAACTTTCTGTGAACAGCTGATATGCAGATAGAAAAAATTTTTCGGTTGGCACTATAGGTCATGTAGATCTTTGTCCGCGTGAATCTTCTAATATCTAATTATTAATAAATATCTAATTCTAATATTTAACAAGATCTTTTAAAAGACTTGCATATCTTGCTGGAGGACCATTCAATCTGATGTTAGGAATCATGGAGAAGCGGCTCAGACACGGCTCCATAACCGACCCCTTTGTAGCCAATTTGACAGTGTCTTTCCACCAACTGGTCCTTTTTGTTCTCCCCTTTCACAACTTCCGGCTGTGCGATGATTTTTACAGGCCAGGGAAAGGTCGAGGATCAGTACCGGAGTTAAAAACTCCCTTGGCACCGAGAAGGCAACTCGTCATCGTTTTATGTTGATATTATCCATTTATGAGGTTGCCGAGCAATGTGTGTTTTGCACACATTTGTGGCTATCCCGCTTCAATTGGTCTTGGTCCATGCATTATGGTTGCTTAGAAGCACGAGAACTATATTTCTTTACTAGAAACATACCATGGATAGTCTAAACTTCTGGACGATTACTGATTGAAATTCTGGAAAACCACAAACTACATGGTGATTCTCGATAAAGCTTCAGAGGGTAGGGTTATCGCTAGAGGTGGGCGTTTCTTCTACTTTTGAAAAACGTAAATGAACCGTTCTTTGACAAAAAACAACAGTTCTTAAACAAACAACGCAACGATTCATGGTGTAGTACCTATTCGTTTGATAACAGTCCTATTCGTTTTAAAACTTATTCAATTCGTTTAATGACAAGTCTGGAAATGAATGAAACGTTTTATGTATAAAGTTTGGCATTGTTCCAGCTTGAAATTGATAACTTTTAAATTTATTTTTAATATTAGCCTAATGCTTTATCTTAAAAATTACTTTTTAAATAATTAAAACTTAAAATTATTTTTTACGCATAGAACACTTTTTATTTTAATAATATTTTAACTTTCTTCTATTAATCTGGTTGTTGTGATTTTGGACAAGTTCCTAAACTCTCAACGAAGAGCTTATTGATGACATTCTTTCGCCCAGCGTAAAGATGGATCCGGTGCTATCGATGAGCTCAGCGCTGAGCTTAGGAATTTTTCCTTTTTCAAATAAATTTGTTATAAATGTTTTGCCATATTTCTTTATCAAGTGTTGTTCTTATTTTGAAATTACGTTGCTTGGTCATTATAAGTCTTTTAACTGTAGTTTAAAAATGTTTTTTAATGTTGTTTTAAACTGTTTCCCTTTTTCAATTTTTATAAAACATAATAGTGTTTATAATTGTGGATTAATGGTTGACTACAGTAAATAATTGAACAGAACAATGTTTTTTGTTGTTTTTTTTACTGATCACCCCAACCATTCTTCCCTTCAATAATAGTATTTAATTTTATTTATAAACTTAAATTGATTTATGTGAATATGTTCAATCATAAAAATTGTTTTCGGTCTGCAAGACACTAATATAGATAGATACGTCTAAAAACATAAACTTGCTTAAGTTAATTTAGTAATGTAGTAACTAAAATGAAAATTTTTATTTATTTCTAGCCATCATTAATATTGGGAGATAAAAATTACACCCCTAAACATAACAGTTGAAACGTCTTATAAAAAAAAAAAACTGTTGGTTTATTTTCATATTGAACTGATAGGTTAGTTGGAAATCAGAAAGAGCTTCTGTTTCGTTTGGAAAAAATGAAACGAAAAACAGATCAAACAGCAACTCGACTAGTGGCAAACGAGTAAACTATAAAAAAAACAACTGTTGTTATCCGTTTGGAAGAACAGTTCATTCGTTTGAGATCAAGAACTATTCTTTTCAAACGTTTGGCGTTTTCTCTCCCACCCCTAGTTATCGCTCCTAAGCTCGGTGGGTATAAATCGCGGATCAGTATTTATTTGATTCCATATCAATTTTTATCAGACTCCATCCA